GAGACACTACCAGTGTCTCCAGATTAAAATTTGACCTAAAAAGGTCAAATTTAGGGTTTACAGAGTGGAACTTTCCGGGCGTCACGTTAAATGGATTGTGATGTCAAATGGATTAACCATCTCATAGAAACTTCTCAAACTTATTATTTTCATTGAAAAGAATATATTAGGTGTTAAACTTAATTCCTATCGTTTTTTCGTCTCAAAAATCGATTTTCGAAGGGAAGATGAATGAATATCTTAATCAAAGTAATTTCCTCCATTTTCTACTACTTTTTCCCATCTCTCCGACAACAGGGCAATCCCACGACAGTAGAACGCGGTGTCTTTCGAGGCGATCCATTCATCCACCCATTTTTGAATTTCGTTGTAACTGGAGAAGTGTGTGTCCGTAAGTGCGTGTTGCATCGATCGGAAGAGATGGTAATCCGACGGTGCCAAGTCTGGAGAGTACGCTGGGTGCGGCAGAACTTCCCATTCAAGCTCTCAAAGTGCCTGCTTCACGCTTTTCGCGACATGCAGTCGAGCGTTATCATGCAACAAAATAACTTTGCGTCGATTGTTGGTTACAGATGATCTTTTTTGCGTCAATTTGTCACTCAATCAGTATAATTGCTGCTTGTAGCGATCAGCTGTAACAGTTTCATTTGGACCCTAGAGTTCATAATACAGCACACCTTCCTGGTCCCACCAAACGCACAGCAAGTTCTTATGCCCGTGAATATTCCTCTTCGGCGTTGAAGCGGATGGTTGGCCGGGGTCCACCCATGATTTTTTCCGCTTGGGATTATCAAAATAAATCCATTTTTCATCGCCAGTCACGATGCGCCACAAAAAAACTCTTTTCTTTGCCTGACAAGCAAAGAAGTCGCAATAGTCAACCCTGCCGGAAATTTCTAATAGATGCGTATAGAAAAAAACTTATCCGTTTTTAGTAGGCTGAATATGTGCTTTTGAAATCTTAATTCTTCATAGATCCAGTGATCATTAAGATAAGCAAATGCAGATACAAGCCGATATAAAGCCTATCCGTATTTGCGAATACACGCGAATACAAAATGTATTCGCATTTATGAGGAATTACGATTTCAAAAGCACATATTCAGCTTACTAAAAACGGATACACGACTGCTCACATATACGCAGTATATTCCCATTCAAAATATATCCGCATTTGCGAATACATCCGAATACAAAATGTATCCGCATTTATGAGGAATTACGATTTCAAAAGCACATATTCAGCCTACTAAAAACGGATACACGACTGCTCACATATATGCAGTATATTCCCATTCAAAATATATCCGCATTTGCAAATACACTCGAATACAAAATATATCCGCGTTTATGAGGAATTACGACACCAAAATTTTTATTTCGGGGGGACGCATAGCAGTATTTTATCCGAATCCCGCTGAGCCCTACTACTGTCCGCTCTGGACAAACCTCGATTTTTTTAAGGGGAAATTTCCTTTTGAAGTCATCAGAGTTTTCTTGACTGAGGGAAGTTGATGGTTGAGAATCCTCTACTTCTGATGCTGTAAGAGTTAGGCCGAGAAAAAACGTCAGGCGTCCTACTCCATCGGGATTCGATCCGAGGCCTCTCGAGTCGTCCATATTAGCAAGCAACCGTCTCGCCACTAAGCCACATAGCCCGACGGGAGGAATTTAGTTTATATCTTATATTCAGATTTTATACCTGATGACATTCGCAAATAGAAACCGATAAATCTTGTATTCGCAAATACAATTACAATCCGAAACATTTGAAAAAATGCAATTGCGGATAAATTGTGTGCACGACGGTATGCATTGCAGTTCCATGCTCATATACGGGCTGTTCGCAAATGCGTATGAATTGCGATAAAACCCAAATTCGTATAGGTGCAGATAGAGATACGATCATAAACTGCGGACAGATTCCACTACCTATCGACGTTCGCCCGAACGCAAATAAAAACCGATAAATCTTTTGTACGTAAATTCGATTACAATCGGGAACATTTTTAAGCGTGTATTTGCGGGTAAACTTTGTGCACGACAATACGCATAGATATGTATGACGAATATCCGCAGTGCATTGCCGCTTGATGCTCATATATGGGCCTTTCACAAATGCGTATGAATTGCGATAAAACCCAAATTCGTATTGGTGCAGATAGAAATACGATCGTAAACTGCGGATAGATTCCAATACCTAGTGACGACTATGCAACGCAAGCACACACCGATATATCCTATATACGCAAATACGAATATATACTGGTATACGTATATATACTAATACATTCGGATCTATTTTTTGTCGTAAAATGCAGGTACAATGAACATTAAATGATGCGTATGAGTGCGTATAGGTACGGTTAAATTCTGCATTCGCAAATGCATAGAAATGCAGATACATCCGATTGATTACGATAAATTCGGAAAAATTATCTATCAGCATTCACAGATATATTCAATTTACAATTGGTGTGGATAGAAACATGTAAGATATAGTAGTAAAAATTTTTCGATGCGGATACAGTCAAATATATCCAAATAATTTCTCATAAATACAGATAAATCTCGTATAAGGATTTATCGGTTTCTATTGAGAATTTCCAGCAGGGAAACGATTTGAAATGGCACTTTCTGACAACTCATGTGGTAGCCATCTCCCTTCCTTATGGATCTTTCC